AGGGGATTTTGGGGTGAGGTGGTTTAAATTGTGGTGGGGGGTGTGAAGAGGTGGGGGGGTAAAGGGTGTGAGGGGTGGGGTAGGGGAGTGTTAGTGATTGTTTGGGCGTAGTTGGGTGAGAGAGGTGTTAATGTAGGGTGTGTAATTGGGTGGATGTAAATGTAAATGTGGGATGGGGGTATGGGTTGATGTGAAAAAGGTGGTGGTGTATGTTGGGGGGATTGAATAAGGTGGTGTGTGAAGAGGGGTTTTAGGTAGTTGGTTAGGGGTGGATGGTGTATGGTGTGAAAAAGGTGGGAGGGTTATTTTGATGTATGAAAAATATGGTTGGGAAGGTAATGTTGAATGGGGGGATAAGGGAGTTGGGATGTATCTTAATTACTGGGTTTGATTGTGAAAAAAGGTTGGGGGTTGATAGGTGGATTTTTTGGTTTTTGTAAAGGGGGTGTTTGTTTTTGGTGGTGTATTGGGTTTTAAGGTGGTGTTGTGTGTTGTGTTTGTTACAAAGCCCCCCTTAATGGGGGATGGGAAATGGATATTTTGGTTTTATTGTGGGATGGAAAAAGGTATTGGTCATGATGGGAAGTATGTGTAAAGAGGTCATATCTTTCTGGGGTGTATGGCATAAGCATATCCCCAGAAAGGCTTATGTATTTAGAACATGGAGATCTTGTCCCCCGTTTATGTATTAAATGGAGATCATATCCCCCCTGTGTATTATACATGTGATAAGATCCCCCCCTTATGTATTTGATAATGGTAGGTTAGTCCCCCCTTATGTATTATACAAATAATGGTTGATTGGGGATTGTGGGATATCCCCCTTATTATTAATACATGGAGATCATATCCCCCTTATGATTAAGAACATGGAGATCATTCCCCCTTATGTATTATGACATGGAGAATAGATCATCCCCACCCTTATGTATTATACATGGAGATAATAATCCCCCCTTAAGGTATTAGACTATGGGTGTATCCCCCCTTATGTATTACATGGAGATCATATCCCCCTGTATGTTATGTATTATACATGGAGATCATATCCCCCCTTATTATATACATGGAGATCATATCCCCCCTTATGTATTATACATGGTGATCATATCCCCCCTTATGTAGTATATACATGGAGATCATATCCCCCCCTTTATGTATTATACATGGAGATCATATCCCCCTTATGTATTATACATGGAGATCATATCCCCCCTTATGTATTATTATACATGGAGATCATATCCCCCCTTATGTATTATACATGGAGATCATATCCCCCCCATTATGTATATATTACATGGAGATCAATCCCCCCTTACATGGAATCTTATTATACATGGAGATCATATCCCCCCTTATGTATTATACATGGAGATCATATCCCCCTTATGTATTATACATGGAGATCATATCCCCCCCTTATGTATTATACATGGAGATCATATATCCCCCCTTATGTATTATACATGGAGATCATATCCCCCCTTATGTATTATACATGGAGATCATATCCCCCCTTATGTATTATACATGGAGATCATATCCCCCTTATGTATTATACATGGAGATCATATCCCCCCCCCTTATGATTTATACATGGAGATCATATCCCCCCTTATGTATTTATACATGGAGATCATATCCCCCCTTATGTATTATACATGGAGATCATATCCCCCCTTATGTATTATACATGGAGATCATATCCCCCCCTTATGTATTATACATGGAGATCATATCCCCCCTTATGTATTATACATGGAGATCATATCCCCCCTTATGTATTATACATGGAGATCATATCCCCCCTTATGTATTATACATGGAGATCATATCCCCCCTTATGTATTATACATGGAGATCATATCCCCCCTTATGTATTATACATGGAGATCATGGAGATCATACCCCCCTTATGTATTATACATGGAGATCATATCCCCCCCCTTATGTATTATACATGGAGATCATATCCCCCCTTATGTATTATACATGGAGATCATATCCCCCCTTATGTATTATACATGGGAGATCATATCCCCCCTTATGTATTATACATGGAGATCATATCCCCCCTTATGTATTATACATGGAGATCATATCCCCCCTTATGTATTATACATGGAGATCATATCCCCCCTTATGTATTATACATGGAGATCATATCCCCCCCTTATGTATTATACATGGAGATCATATCCCCCCTTATGTATTATACATGGAGATCATATCCCCCCTTATGTATTATACATGGAGATCATATCCCCCTTATGTATTATACATGGAGATCATATCCCCCCTTATGTTATTATACATGGAGATCATATCCCCCCTTATGTATTATACATGGAGATCATATCCCCCCTTATGTATTATACATGGAGATGGAGATCAATCCCCCCTTATGTATTATACATGGAGATCATATCCCCCCTTATGTATTATACATGGAGATCATATCCCCCCTTATGTATTATACATGGAGATCATATCCCCCCTTAATCTAATATCTTCTGAAGAGAGAATAAATTCAGTTCCTGTAATCTTTCCTCATAGCTGATCTCCTCCATGCCTCTTATCAGTTTGGTTCCTTTCTCTGTGCACTTCTCCAGTTCCCCAATGTTCTTTTTTGTGAATTTGGTGCCCAAAACTGAACTGCATATTCCAGATGAGGTCTTACTAATGATTTGTACCGGGGGAATGATATCTCTCTCTCTGGAGTCTATACCACTCTTATTAATACAAGAGAGGATTTTGCTCGCTTAGAACCCGCAGCTTGGGTCATTGCATATGTTACTAAGCTTGTGATCTACCAGAACTCCCAGATCCTTCTCCACCATTTGATCCCCCCAGTTGTACCCCCCCCCAGTATGTATGATGCATGCAGAACCTTACATTTATCAAATTAAACTTCATTTGCCACATAGTGGCCCAATTACACAGAGCATTGAGGTTGGCTTGTAAATTGGAAACATCCTGTAAGGACATTATTCCACGGCACAGCTTGGTGTCAATCTGCAAAGACTGAAATGGGGTTTTATAATCCCAGACCCTATATTGTTTATAAATATATTAAAAAGTAAGGGTCCCAACATTGAACCTTGGGGTACACCACTGATGACCCTAGACCATTCAGAGTATGAATCATTAACCACTACTCTCTGAATGCAATATTTTACCCAGTTTTCTATCCATTTACATACGGATATTTCCAAGCCTGTAGACTTTACCCTACTCATTAGCCATGTGTGGGGAACTGTGTCAAACGCTTTTGCAAAATCCAAGTATACCACGTCCCACCTCCACCCCTCTGTCCAAGTATACCACATCCACCGCCACCCCTCTCTGTCCAAGTATACCATGTCCACTGCCACCCCTCTGTCCAATATACCATGTCCACTGCTACCCCCTCTGTCCAAGTATACCACATCTACTGCCACTGCCACCACTCTGTCCAAGTATACCACATCCACTGCCACCCCTCTGTCCAAGTATACCACGTCCACCGCCACCCCTCTGTCCAAGTATACCACGTCCATCTCCACCCATCTGTCCAAGTATACCACGTCCACCTTCAGCCCTCTGACCAAGTATAACATGTCCACCGCCACCCCTCTGTCCAAGTATACCACGTCCACCGCCCACCCCTCTGTCCAAGTATACCACATCCACCGCCACCCCTCTATCCAAGTATACCACATTCATCACCACCTCTCTGTCCAAGTATACCACGTCCACCGCCACACCCTCTGTCCAAGTATACCACGTCCACCGCCACCCCTCTGTCCAAGGTTTTGCTCACCTCCTCATAAAAAGATATCAGATTTCTTTGACAATTTCTGTCTTTCACGAAATCCATGCTGTCTGTTGCTTAAAATATTTTTTCCAGCAAGAACTCATCTATGTGGTCTTTTATTAAACGCTCCAGTATCTTCCCAACTATAGAAGTTACACTAACAGGTCTATAATTACTTGGTAAAGATTTTGACCCCTTTTTAAATATTGGCACCACATTGGCGCTACGCCAATCCAGAGGTACTATGCCAATCATTAAAGAGGTTTGTGGCCACCTGGGCAAAAGTAATGTACTGGGGTCTCTACCAGTCTGCCCCAATTTACACACCTACGCTTAAGAATTAAAGTATAAATAGTTGATAGAATTAAGTATATATTAGTGCTTTCAAAAAAATGTATTTTAAACAATAAGACAACATGTCATAAATCAAAGACTAATCAACATAAAGGGCATGGTACAGGGGGAGGGAAGCAGAAGGGAACAGTACAGGGGGGAATTAGGAGGGCTCAATATTGGGATCAGGAGGACACAGTGCAGGTTCTGGGAAGCTGCCTGGGCCGTCCTGGGACAGCTTGGTAAAAAACATGACTGTCCCAGCAAATCTGGGACAGTTGGCAAGTATGATGTAATGCAAGATTATCATGGAGCACCTGAGCAGTGCCCAGGGGTGCCCGTGCATTAAGACAGCCCTGTGCGGACATCTTCTCCCGGATAGTTGTCATTGGGGCAGATGTCTCCATGGGAGGACAACTGTAAAATGTTGGATGTCCCAACATTTTGGGCCACCAGGAAAAACGGAGAATGTGAATCTCCCAGTGAAGACAGAGAAAGTAATAAAAAACTGATAAAGCTTTTTAAACCTTCCAAAAAATTAGGCTATAGATTTACTTTAAGATAGATCCAAAGTCCATCATCAAGCATGGCATTCAGTACTTACTCCTTTGTAGAGCAGATCAGCTTCAGCTTCAGAGTATCTGAACATCTCCAGGCAGCCTCTACGTTTTTATATCCCTGATGACCAGCCCAGCAAATTAGTCTAATTTGTTTAAAGCTAATAAACTTTGAAATTTTTCTTCCCGAAACAAGGAACAGTGACAGCTTCCTCGTGTTTGTTTTTAATCATTATTTGATTACCTCGCCGTGTTGAAGAATTTGTTCCGATGAGTGAGCATTGGAAAAAACAGAAGGCTGACCTAGACCTTCTAGTTAAATTTGGAGCTGTGAAGTCATGGCCTGGCACCTCCTAGGTGTGCAGTCTGTAAATGTCAACTCGTGTCTCTGCTAACTTCTAAGGAATCGTTGACTCGTATGATAGACAATGCTTCCATGTTGCTTGGTATCGTGATGTCATGCGACGCCGTAAAGTTTAAAAACATGTATTGACTTCATTGGAAAATAGTGCCCCGTGTATACAAAGTAACATACATGCATTCAGTGGCGACACAAAAGCTTTGTTTATATACGACTCTTTTATGTTGATTACTATGGGTCCTATCCAAAAAATTGTTGATACAAGGCAGTAGGATATGATTTGTTTGCATTATTCAGCTAGAAAGGAAATGAGATGTGATTTCTAAACAGGTACCGCTGACCACATGAAGGAAGTCTGATATCCAAGAACATATTTAATTTGTTGCAAAGCTACCAGGAAAATGATTAACAGTAGAGCCACAGACATTTGGAGTGGCTTGGTTGTAGCTATTAAATGGTGGATGAAAAGTTACCATTCTGAGGTTGTAAGGAGATTCTTTCATACCGTTTTACAAATGGTCTTTTAGAAAGATGAAGAAAATAATATGACAACTTCTAGTCTGAAGGATAGCCTCACAGTCCATGTACAGTAACAGTGATTAGTGAACAATGGCATTGGAATATTACCAAGAAATAAATGACAAGGGATAATATGATACCTGTAGGAAAAGTTTGATAGAGAAGGAGGAAAGGAGACAGCAGAGGAGAAAAAGAGAGGAAGACAGAAAGAGATGGAGAGAAGGAAAGAGGACAAAAACCACTGAGAGAGAAGAGGGCAGAGTTGAGATCGGGGTGGTCAATTAATGTTCCCAAAGGGCCACATAAGAAACTGCGACTATTGTGGAGGGCCGAACTTAATTCTGCTCAGTATTAATTCTGGACCTGGGAAGGTCGGTAAGCAGGGGCGGACTGACCATTCAGGAACTCGAGCACTGCCTGAGGGCCCAGGGTCAGTAGGGGGCCCCATGAGATGCCCCTGGTACCTTTCATAAATTTTTTTTTTTGGGTGTGGTTTGAGTGTGGGCGAGGACACAGGAGCCCCAGGATCCCCTATTGCCCGGGGGCCCCATGAGTTGTTAGTCCGCCCCTGTCTGTAAGTATGCAGATATGGGCAGCACAGTGGCTAAATGGTTAGCACTTTCACCTGGCAGTACTGGGGTCATTGGTTCACATCATAACCACGGTACCACCTACCTGGAGTTTGCATGTTCTCCCTGTGCCTTTCTGGGTTTCCTCCGGGAACTCCAGTTTCCTCCCACACTCCAAAGACATGCTGGTAGGTGAATTGGATCCTGTCTAAATTGGCCCTTGTATGTGAATGTATGACAGGGGTGGACTGACCATTTGGAAACTCGGGCATCCCCCCTTATGTATTATACATGGAGATCATATCCTCCCTTATGTATTATACATGGAGATCATACCCCCCCCCTTATGTATTATACATGGAGATCATATCCCCCCTTATGTATTATACATGGTGATCATATCCCCCCTTATGGATTATACATGGAGATCATATCCCCCTTATGTGTTATACATGGAGATCATATCCCTCCCTTATGTATTATACATGGAGATCATATCCCCCCTTATGTATTATACATGGAGATCATATCCCCCCTTATGTATTATACATGGAGATCATATCCCCCCTTATGTATTATACATGGAGATCATATCCCCCCTTATGTATTATACATGGAGATCATATCCCCCCTTATGTATTATACATGAAGATCATATCCCCCCTTATGTATTATACATGGAGATCATATCCCCCGTTATGTATTATACATGGAGATCATATCTCCCCTTATGTATTATACATGGACATCATATCCCCCTTATGTATTATACATGGAGATCATATCCCCCCTTTGAAATATATTACACATATGCAAAAAAAAACACTTCAAAAAAGTATTCCAGTGGCGCATAAATCAATTATCAGTGTACAAAATATTTATAAAAATACATATATAAATAATGTGAATAATGAATAATATATAATAAATAATATTTTCCATGTAAACAATGTCAATGGTGTGAAATAGGTACCAGGGGCATCTCATGGGGCCCCCTACTGACCCCGGGCCCTCGGGCAGTGCCCGAGTTTCCAAATGGTCAGTCCGCCCCTGTGTCACTGTCAATGTTTTTACCATCATTTATTGGATTGGATCAGCCAGCAAACTAGCATTTCCACAATGGCAGCCTACATTTTTCACTTAGTACACACATCCGTTAAACCATTGTAAACTAGGACTTGCTGCTACACTTTCCTACTACTTTTATTGACCCCGTTTTCCAGTTTCGGCATCAAAGCAAATGAGAACACATTACCCAACACTTGAAAATAGGCCCCAAGGAAGGAAAAACATTTCCAGAGACTACGGAAGATAGAAGATGAGATCTAATGATCTACCACTAGGTCTTACCATGGCCTTTCTTCCAGATATCTTTAATCTCATCTCTAACATCCATCGACAGCCTGTAGCCATCCGTGTACATATTACTCAGCTCTCCATTACAGGAGTAGTTAGCAGGATGGCTAGTCTGTTAGCCAATAACCTAAATTCTAGTCTATTACACTCCCGGCGTTACGTTTCAAGTGCCTTCAACACGGCGGCGTCTTTGCTTTGCTGTAAAAACACAGTAATTACTGTTTTATAAGTGACAAATTTGTATCGTTTTGAGGGCAGGTTATCAGTATAGAAACAAGAAAACTGCAGGAGATCTTTTTTTTCTATTTTCTGTTATGACAGAGCTTTTATACCTACAAAATGGTTAGGAATACTTTGTTCCATATACCTAGCTTGTTTTTGTTCATCAATAAATATGAATTTATTATTAATAACCTCGACACATCCAAATTAGTATAACCAATTAGATATGAGGTTGTGCTATGTAAAAATAAAGTGTTATTATTATTTTATTATTATGCAGTATTTATAAAGCGCCAATGGTTCGCTCAGCGCTGTACATTACAAAGGGGGACAGAACATGTGACAGAACAATACCAATACGATGCAAAACATGAGGGGATCGAGGGCCCTGCTCTTTCGAGCTTACAATCTAGGAGGGAGGGGATGGTGGCACAGGAGGAGATAGCTGTGGGGGATGGAGTGGTAGGAAGAGTGGAGGAGGTCGGCAGGTTAGCAGGGGGGGGTAGGCTTCCCTGAAGAGGTGGGTTTTCAGGGTGCACCTAAAGGAGAGGAGAGTAGGTGATAATCTGATGGGTTGGGGCAGGGAGTTCCAGAGGATGGGTGACACCCTGGAGAAGTCCTGGAGGCGGGCATAGGAGGAGGAGACCAGGGAACTAGAGAAAGTTATAAAACAATAAGGTGCTAATATTGATCATAAAACATACACTTCAATACCCAACAGAAATAAACACAAATATAAAATTGCTAATTTAATAAACATGAATAATACTCTCAATAGTGCACTTGTGTTTTAACCTCCCTAGCGGTCTGATTATGTCAATATTTCTGTGCTGAAATCAGTACATTTTTTTGCATGGAAATATGTCGTTTTTTTATTGTAGGCCTGTAATTTTTAGGAGTAACTCACTGAAATCTGTCCGAACAAGAGTCTAGTAAACATCCCGGTAAAAATCATAAATTATAATATAATAAATAATCATAAAAAATAATAATATAATAATAATATATTTAATTCAATAATATAATCAAACCAAAAACACTGAAATTTGAAATATAGCGCCAAGTTCGCACATCACTGAGCAAAGTCGCAGAATCATTTTCAGT